ACCTCCCTGCACTGATAAAGGACTTTGGTAAAGTCTCAGGGTATAAAATCAACATGCAAAAGAAAAGTCACATTTTTATACACCAACAACAAACAGGCAGAGAACCAAATAAAAAGTACAATTTCATTCATAACACACACACACACACACACACACACACACACACACACACACACACACACTCACACACACACAAATGAAATACATTGGCATCTTCCCAACCAGAGAAGTGAAAGGCCTTCACTATGAAAACTACAAAACAATGATCAAAGAAGACACAAACAAGTGGAAAAATATTATTCCATGCTCATGGACTGGAAGAATCAATATTGTTAAGATGTCCATCCTACTCAAAGCAATCTATTAAATTACCATCATCGCAATACCCATTAAATTACCATCATCATTCTTCTCAGACCTGGAAACAACAATACAGAAATTCATATGGAAACAAAAATTACCATGAATAGCCAAAACAATCCTCAGTAAAAGAAACAAAGTGGGAGGTATCACACTTGAAGCTTTATTATAAGGCTACAACAATCAAAACAGCCTGGTATTGGTACAACAACAGGCATATAGACCAATGGAACAAGACAGAGATTCCAGAAGCAAAACCTCAACTTATCGACCAGCTCATCTTTGACAAAGCCTCCACCAACAACCACTGGGAGAGGAGACCCTATTAAGTAAATGGTGCTGGGAAAACTGGCTGAAGAATCACAATACATAAAAATTAACTCCAAATGGATCAAATACCTAAATGTAAAACCTCAAACAAAAATAAGAATTGTAAAAAACTCAGGAGACACCCTTATGGAAATTGGAATAGGCAACTATCTTCTGATCAAAACCCCAGATGCCCCTGCCATAAGATATTAAGATAGACAAGTGGGACCTCATCAAACTGAAAAGCTTCTGCAAAGCAAAAGAAACCATCAATAGAGCAGGGAGACAGACCACAGAATGAGAAAAAATATTTGCCATATCCGACTGCATATCTGACAAAGGCCTAACATCCAGGATCTATAATGAACTCAAACATGCTGAAAGGAAAAAAACAAACAACCCCAATAAAACGTGGGCAAAGACATGAATAGATACTTCTCAAAAGGAGGCATATGAGCCGCCAACAGACACATGAAAGAATGCTCAGCCTCACTAATCATCAGAGAAATACAAATCAAAACCACACTGAGATACCCCCTAAGTCCAATAAGAATGGATATCATTAATAAAACAAAAAACAACAGATGCTGGGGAGGATGAGGAGAAAAGTTAACACTTCTAAACTGCTGATGGCAGGTGTAAACTAATTCAGCCTCTATAAAAAACAGTGTGGGAGCTGGGCTCGGTGGCTCAGCCTGTAATCCCGCACCTTGGGAGGCTGAGGTGAGTGGATTGCCTGAGCCCTCAGGTTCAAGACCAGCTTGGGCAACTTGGCGAGACCTCATCTCTACAATAAATCGAAAAATTAGCCAGGCGTGGTAGCACGTGCCTGTAGTTCCAGCTACTTGGAAGGCTGAGGTGGAAGGATCGCTGGAGACCAGCAGGGCGAGGCTGTGGTGGCCGGGAGCGGCTACTGCACTGCAGTCTGGGCGACAGAGTGAGACTCCAACTCAAAAAAAAAAAAAAGAAAAAAAAAGAAAAAAGAAAAACAGTGTGGTGATTTTTAAAAGAACTAAAAATTGACCTTCCATACGACCCAGCAATCCCCCTTCTGGGAATATACCCAGAGGAACTCATTTTTATAAAAAAGATACCTGAGCATGCATACTTATTTCAGCAGTATTCACAATAGCAAAAACATGAAACCAACCATGCTGCCCATTGAAACTGGACTGATTAAAAAAAATGTGGTACATATACACGACAGAATATTACACAGTCATAAAGAAGGACAAAATTACAGACTTCGCAGCAACTTACATGGATTTAGAGTCTATCATACTCAGTTATCTATCACAGAAACAAAGAACTGAGTACCACATGTTCTCACTCACAAGTGGACCTAACAGCTATCATATACTATAAAAAAAGAATTGGAGCCGGGCTCGGTGGCTCAGCCTGTAATCCCATGCCTTTGGGAGGCTGAGGTGAGTGGATTGCCTGAGCCCGCGGGTTCGAGACCCGCCTGGGCAGCGAGACCTCATCTCTACAATAAATCAAAAAATCAGCCGGGCGTGGTAGCGCGTGCCTGTAATTCCGGCTACTCGGAAGGCTGAGGCGGAAGGATCGCCGGAGCCCAGCAGGTCGAGGCTGCGGTGGCCAGGAGCGGCCACTGCACTCCAGTCTGAGTGACAGAGTGAGACTCCAACTCAAAAAAAATAAAAAAATTAAAAAAAAAAAGAATTGGGAGTAGAGGGACACTGCCAGGGGAGAAGGGGCGCACATAATATCAATAAGAGAGCCTGATTCTAAACCAGGTGAAATAAGGTCCAATAGGAGGTCCAAAACTTCACCTGTACCTGAATCACTTATGTATGCAATCCTGACTTGTACTCCACAACTTTAAAATTAAATTAAATTAAAAAAAAAACACATGTAAGGTTGCTACGCAAATTCTCTGAATTACAAAGTAACAGAAAAGAGGAAAATATTTTTTTCCTCCTCCTTATTATGAAAAACATCAAACATATAGAACAGTGGAATGAATAGTACAAAAATCACTCACTTATTCATTGTTAACATTTTGCCATGTTTACTTTATATGTATTTTTAATTTACATGATTTTACTTATCAGTATTCATTTGAACCTTCAGATGCTTTACTCAAATGTAATCAAATATAATATATAGCCAAAAAAATACCCATTTTAAGAAAGGAAAAAAATTGTATTAAAATTGTAATACTTAATATATACTGATAACGAAAGATGAATTCAAGTCATATTTGACTTCTGCAATTACAAGAGGTGCTCAAAGTGGTTACCATCAGCATCCAGACACTTCTGATTATAGCGAACTAAAAGTAATACATAGATAACGTCTCTTAAAATGCATATTTTTTTGGCATCCCGGCATATATATATTTGGAGATGGGGTCTCATTATTTTGCCCAGACTGGATTCAAACTCCTGCGTTACAGCGATTCTCCCACCTCAGCCTTCTGAGTAGCTGGGATTATAGGTGTGAGTGATCATGCCTGGATATATGCATATTTTTACATGTGTGCGTAGACTTTTTAAAGAAGATAGCATGATACTTCACTCCCACTACTTTGTTACAAATGTTCTAAAAATAAGAACACTTTTCTAAGTAACCATACCATGATTACACAAGAAAATTAAAAAAAATTCCCTATTAGTATCCACTATCTAGGTCATATTCAAATTTCTCCAATTATCTCTAAATTGTATTTCGTAGCCTTTTTTTTGGGGGGAGTTGTAGTCTCACTCTGTTGCCCAGGCTGGAGTGCCATGGCACACTCATGGCCACTCCAGCATCAACCTGCTGGGTTCCGGCGATCCTTCTGCCTCAGCCTTCCAAGTAGCCGGAACTACAGGTGCAAGCTACCATGCCTGGCTAATTAAAAAAAAAAAAATTTATTGTAGAGATGAGGTCTCACCAAGTTGCCTGGGTTGGTCTTGAACCTGCAGGCTCAGGCAATCCACTCACCTTGACCTCCCAAAGTGCTGGGATTACAGGCTGAGCCACTGAGCCTGGCCTTTTTTTAAAAAACAGACTCTAACTGAGGTTCTCACCTGAAGTTATTATTATGTCTCTGCAGTGAGGTGAGGGCAATTTAATCAACTTTCCTTAAGGTCCATTGTTTAAGTGAACGTAGCTTTGTAAAGTATTCTTTCCTTAACTTTCAAGACTGTTTCTGTACCATGATGGCCTGTGTTTAGAGTATATATTACACTTTTTCTTTTGGAGTTGGGGTCTTATTCTGTGACTCATTGCAGCCTCGGTACCCTGAGCTCAGGTGATCTTTCCACCTCAGCCTCCCGAGTAGTTGCATGCCACCATAATCACCTAAATTTTTGAAGTAATGAAGTCTTGCTATGTTGACTAGGCTGGTCTCAAGTCGCTGGGCTCAAGCAATTCTCTTGCCTCGGTCTTACAAAGTGCAAGGATTACAGGCATGAGTCACCATGCCCCACCAGAGTAAACGTTACCCTTAACCTTTAAAATTAATGAACACACTTAGTAACCACTTACTATGTAGTGCCATGGCAGGGATTATAAAAGATAAAGACAAAAATAGAGATAGTCATATAAATAGAAGTCTGGAAGTCAACTTTTAACAATGAAATACACAATCCCACGCCCCCACACACCCACCTAGAGGGCAATTTCAAAATAAAAACAGTACAAATGTGTAAGATAGTATCGGCATGGGTCAGTCATCCATACTGGATGCAGGCTACCTGCATGCTAATCTTTTATAAAGGGTGCTTTGGGCAGCGTTTGGCATAATTATCATAGACAAAGGAGGAGCAAGAAAACCACAGAAGAGTAGGACCAAGGAGTTTGAGGACAGAAACGGAGAGGAGATGGAAACAGACTAGGCATCCTTCGTGGGAATGCAGAGGGCCACCAAAATTGCCTCAGGGTCTTCAGTGGCCTCAGGACCCAAAGTCCTGAGAGGGTGAGTGTTGAAGGATTAATGAAGAAAATAATTGCTCAGGGAATGGATCCTCAAGGGGGATGGTAAGCAATGCAGGACCATGGTGTTTTAGGGAACAGGTTTTGGTAGCTACAAAAGCTTGGGTTCAAATCCTGGCTCACCGTTTATTACTTGTGTGACCAGGGGCAAGTAACCTAACCACTCTGTTCATTGGTTTCCCTGTTTGCAAAATGGAGAGAATCCTATTTAATCCTGAAGTCTGATGAGAATCAAATGGGTTAACATATATAGCTTACAAAGGGATATGGAAAAAAAGAAACATTTAGGAATGCTAGCTATGGGTTATCCTCTCCCCTGCTTGTGTCTGGCTAAAGTTTGTTAAAACACATCCAAAGGTGTGAACGGCTCTGCCATGCGCCCCACTCACCTGAGAACGTCCCCTTGCTGAGACATTCTTTTATCCGATTGGCTTTCCTGACGTGAAAGGCTTTTGTAATCTCCTGGTTCATGAAGGCTTCCTTGTTCATGATGTTTTCTACCATCATCCTCAGATCAAACATCTCTAAGATCTCTGCGATCTGAGCCAGGCCCACCAAATCCTTTTCCTTTTCATCCAGTTGTCCTGTATAAAGAAACTGGAGCAGGGTTCGAAAAGGGCCTGGCTGAACAGACAAGTCCATCCTGACCACAGTCACTGGGCCCACCCGCTTTGAGATGGGATTGACTTGCATTTCCTTGTGCATGCCAACGAACCCTTTACTCCAGCCTGACAACGTCTGCATCTCAGGAGCCACAGCCTCGGCTTCCAGTCCTGATGTCTCCAAAAGGCTCTTGCTTGGAGATTTGCACAGCTCGGCCTGAGGCGCCCTGGGGGGGCCTTCCTCCCTTTCCTCATCTGGGTCACCACTTGGTGTCCACCCCTGGAAATCCCTGCTCTGCTTCTCTTTCTCACAAACTCCTTCACCCCAATTTGGGGATTCTTCACATTCCATTAAAAACAGATCATAAAATTTGGAAGAAGAGGTAGCGAGGTAAATTCGATGTGCAAAGATGTGTTCCTGGTCCTGAAGGATGAACAGGACATCGGCACACAGAGGATTGTCCAGTAAACAGGCAGCTTCATTTGTCCCTGTGGAAGGACACTCTGGAATTTTGATGACAGGAGGAGGGGCTTTTGGAGGTAGGAAGGGTGCCTGAAGTAAAGGTTTCTGGACTTTCTTTAAGTGGGATTTCCAGAACTGCAGATGCCGGCGGGAAATTAGTGCTGCCCGGATTGCATTGTCAAACACATCCTTGATTCCAAACTGGTCAAATACGCTAGTTTCATAGTACGGTATACCAAGCTCCTTTGCTACCTCTCGGCCTTTTTCTGGGGGCAAAATATCCCCTCTCTTTATGGGCCTGAAATAGAATATTTGAAAAGTTACAATCAGCCTTATTTTAGAAAAAATAAAATAGTCACCAGGGCCTATCTAAGTCAATTGAATGACACATTTAAAATCCTATTCAGGCTTTACTATGAATGCCACCCTCAAGTCTTTTAAATATAAAGGAGTCATGATTACAGAAAAAAAAAAACAAAAGACACTTTCAAATATTTTATAGTTTCAGCACACAGATTTTACAATTTGTGAAACTTATCCATAAATATTTTATGTTTGTATGGTACTGTAAATAGTATTGTTTCTTAAATTTTATTTTCCAATTGTCCTTTTTTGTGCATAAAAATATAATTGATTTTTATGTACTGACCTTTTATCCTATGATTTTGCTAAATTAATATTAGTTGTGATAGCTTTTTTGTAGATTCCTTAGAAATTTTCATTTATATAACCATGTCAACTGTAAACAAGGACAGATTTACTTCTTTAAAAAAAAACACAGTCATTGAAGTATCAGTCCTTTACTAGCGATTTGATCTTGGGCAAGTTATTTAACCTCATTAAACCTTGGTTTTCCCATCTATGAAACAGGAATAATAATAATGAGTACTTTTATCTTAAAGGACCATTGAAAGGTTTAAATGAGATAATATGTTGAATACACTTTTTGGTCCACAGTAAGTACCTGATAAATGTTAGCTGTTATTATCATTATCACTTCCATCTTCATCAACAGCCATCATCACTTATCATACATCACATTTTGCTTTATAACTTTAAAATGCATCTGTATACTTTTCATTTGAGTCTCTCAATAATCTTATGAGGTATTATTTTTGTTCTACATTCTGGGGAAATTGAGGCAGGCAGTTTAAAGGAATTGTCTGAGGTTATGTTTGTAGGTTGCTGAGAGACATTCTACTAAGCAATTAGAGTCTAGACTTTCCTGCTCCTAGTTAAATAGTGTTCATTCTTTAGCTCATTAAGTGTCCTCCATTGGATTTGTGAATCCTTTTTTCTATATTTCCCCTTCTCTTTTCTTTCTCTCCCTTCATCAGGGCCTCATCATCTTTTACTTGGACTGGTGCGTTAGCCCCTTAACTAGTGTTTCTTCACAATCCCCTTATTTTAGCCCACAGCCTTCAATGTTGTAAGAAAAGTCCTTATACAGCACAACTCAACTTGTTGACAATTCTGCTTTAGTTTCCTCTGATCCATCAAGCCCATAGAATCAAGTCCACACCACAAATGGCACACAAAGTCCATTTACTATCTAATTGAACCCAGGGAAGTCAGATCTGTGAAATAGTGTAAAGCAATATAGTGCTGTGCTTATGGCATAACCATGGAAAAGGACAAGCAAATTCCAGAACATCGGCAAGATGTGCTTTGTTGTTACACTCTACACAAACATGTACTTGATTCTGAGATATACTCTTAGGACTTGATCTTCTTAAAAAACTACTTGGCCTTCCAACACCTAAAGGTAATGTATATGTCAGGCACTAGTCTTAGGAGAAAAAAGATGATATCCAATAGAATTTTGAATCGCAGATTTGGATGGAAAAAAGAACAAATTATAGGGTGCTGGAAAAGGTAGAAGAAAAGTGCAGGGAAGAAGGTTTAACCTCAAGGTTTACCCCTGCAGGTTTTGGGTACTTTTTCCCCAGAACTAATGTGAAATTTACCAACCAATGCCACCTCCTTCATGAACTCCTCCTAGAATTGCTCTACACATGGGGCTGGCTCCTTCACTGTCCTCTGCACCTCCTCTCCAGTCCTTCACATACCCATGGTTGTGAAGCCTGATCATTTTAACCTATTCCAAGGTCTGGGGAAAGGTTCTGTGGCCAGGGCATGTTCTCATTCACTGTGAGTCTTTTTTCCCTCTATGTAAGTTCTAATAATTCAAGCCCTAGTCCATGCATTTAAGAATAGGATTGTGAAAACTAAACATAAAATGTTTTTTAGAAATGTTATGCACAACATACATAGAACATCAGAAGTTTTCTAAGGAAAGTACCAATTGCTTTTACCGTGAGAGTATAAAAAGAGTATCCACATAAAATTTTGTAAGAAGACAATTAGACCAAAGTCATCAGATTTTCTTTTTTTTTTTTTTGAGGCAGGGGTCTCACTCTGTCACCCAGGATGGAGTGCAGCGGCAGGAACATGGCTCACCACAGCCTCTATCACCTGGGTTCAGGTGATTTTTCTGCCTCAGCCTTCTGAATAGCTGGGACTACAGGTGCATGCCATTTTTAATTTTTTGTAGAGATGAGGTCTCACTATGTTCCCCAGGCTGGTCTCAATCAAACTTCTGGGCTTAAGTAATCCTTTAGCCTTGGCCTCCCAAATTGCTGGGATTACAGGTGTGAGCCACTGTGCCTGGCCTACCATCAGAATTTCTTGAAAAGCTATGCTCTCCAGCAAAAACGCCTATATAAAAAAAAGAAAATATTTGTTTTTTATAAAGGGGACTTGAGGGCAGCACATGATTTTAAACATGTATTTTTTCCCAAAATCAATATTCACATTCTATCTATCTATCTATCTATCTATCTATCTATCTATCTATCTATCTATCTATCTATCTATCTATCTATCTATCTATCTGAGTTGGGGGTCTCATTCTGTTGCCCAGGCTGGAATTCAGTGGCATGATCATGGCTCACCATAGCCTCAACCTTCTTAAATTCACATTTTATGCATAGTGGAACAAATCCTCCTTCAGGTTATACTTTAAATTTGTGACACTTTAGAAATATAATCAGTAGAGACATTTAGAAAGCAGTATTTGTTTGTTTTGCAACTAGAGATCTACATGATTTTTTAAAAAGTAGACACTGTCATGTTGGGAATGAAATACTTTCACAGGTTGTACTGTGTCATATGAGAAAGATTAAAAACACTTGGACATAGGTATTTGTATGAATCTGATGTTCCCTGAGGTCAAGACGCCTCTGAGTGATTGTTTACTATAATAACTATAATTTTAAGGTATTTAACATTTTGTCTAATACTTTACAAGTTTCCAAGCATTTTTATACACACCGCTTCATAATTAGAGCATGTACCTCAAGTGCTGGCCAACCATTTTTGACAGAAATGAGTTCTGATATCAGATGGGGCGTGTGAAGGACCCAAGACACCTTCCTCATAATTCAGGGACTGCCTTAAAGCCTCTGGCTACTTGATAGGATTCTACAACCACTGAAGAGCAGAACACCAGGCTACTGAGACACCTGTTAGCTCTAAATTTTAATTTGGCCAGTGCAAGGAGACACCAAGTCCCTTGGCTTACCTTGCTAACGGGCGCCTGGCTCGATTAACAGCTTCCAGATCAGCGTAGCGGAGATCGAGCTGGCACCCAACGAGGACAACGGGTGTTCGAGGGCAAAAGTGCTTGATTTCTTGATACCACATCGTTTTCACATGATTTAGGGAATTGGGATTAGCGATGGAAAAACAGAGGACCACAACATCAGACCTAAAAGGAAATCACAAAAGAAACTTGTATTGCCTTTTTAGCTTTTTCTTTTACTATCATGGTTCCTCCCTGTCCCACCCATCTAACGCCATATCATGTCACAATTAGAAATAAAAAGACCATATATTAAAACACATCTTGGAGTCATGCAAACAGCCTGATAAGCCCCCACATTCCAGCACCAACACAGCCTAACAGTTCATGTCCAGATCGCACTGCAGAATGCTGATGCACTGAAAAGTTTCCAATGAGTTATTTTACAGAGGAGATGGCTACCCAAACTTGACTCAGTCCTGGAGCCACAACATGCTGAACTATTTCTGTTCATCACAAGAAATAGTTTCAAGATAAAAGAAAAGAATAAACAACTACCTTTTACCAGTTGAAACAACATAAAGGTGAAGATGACTCATCCCAATGAGATAAAGCAAACAGTTTAAACATTACTGAGAATGTAACAAGTATTTGCTGCACAGGGTCAGCAAATACACAGAAGGCTTTCTCCCTTCTTCTCACTTAGGCACACATGGAGACAGCACAACCACTTATCTGTTTCCGAAAAGAAAAATCCTGAATTTGCAGAAATTTGGACTCTTTACTAGGTAAGGCAAGAAGGTAGTATTTAACATACAGCTAGGTGAGAATTAGATTGATGGCTAATAAGATGAGAAAATATTGGAAGCAAATTCCTCAAATGCTCTATGAGACACATAGCAGGTATATGGGGAAAAGAAAAATGGTTTTATAATAAATTTTGACGTAAGGGTCTTCCATTTTGACATAATAACTTACCATTCTAGACGTGAAAGAACTGTTTTTAAAAATGGTTGTTCAATTATGGTGTTTGACAGATAGCTGCTAAATGGTATCTTTAATAGAAGTTATAAATCATCGTTCTAGGTTAAGTTATGCTGAATGATGACTTTCAAAATATTAAGGTAGAAAGATATAAAGAATGGGAAAAGTATGCCCAAGGATTCAGGACTAACTTGCAGCTGAATACAGAAATAAGCTCTTAAAATTTTATTAGATGTTAATTTATTGCCTTTATTGTTTATGTAATGAGAAGAACCAAGTCGATGAATCAAAACACCTTCTTTTTAAATCATTAATGAGTTTTCCCCTACATATCAATGAAGACAAACAAATATAGTAGGCAACCATAAAATTTCTAAAAATAATCATTTGCAATGCAGAACACTGCAGGGTGCTTACATTAAATGTAACTCACAAGTTGAGTCTTTAAATTTATATCCAAGAGAAGCTGCATCAGACCACAGCAAACAGAGTGGAAAGTCCTGAGATTAAAATATTTTAAATTATCAAAGAGGACGTAGGACTCAAACCAGATGAATGTATTAATCTCAATGTTTGGTATCTCCTTGAAATAAAGATATGTTCAAAGATTCTTGGATGCTGGAATACTATGAGTGAAAACATGCATAAATATATAAATGAAAGGGAAGCATGTCTTGTCTTCAGGATTCTGATTTAGTTAGTGGAATATTCTGTGCTCAGTCTTACTTCCAATCAGCATAAATAACAGTATTCGGTAATGCCAAGAATGCTTTGAATTTTACATTTTTACAGGCTGAGTTTTCTATTATTCATAGTCCTATTTATATCGGTATCTGATGAAGTTCTGCTATAAGCTTCGTCCCAATCATAAAATAAAGCCACCATGAATTTTGGCACAGTGAGAATAGTATGACAATATCTGAGATTCAATATCATAAAGAACGGAGGAAATATATCTAGCACCCAAATGTGTTTTAGTATGTATATATCTAAAATTGTTCTAAGTGGTACATTCTATTTCCATATTAAGACACATGGCTCTAAAGAAAATCATTCTCAGAGCTTAATTTATATGACAGACATGTAGCTAAATGTCAATTCTGTTCTCTAATTTTATGATACAGCATGTGAGGGTTTGAAATCAGAGCTAGCTTGGTTGCCAAGGTTACCGTGATAACACTCATGCCATTGAACACACACTAGTTACCATTCAGATGACCTGTAAACAAGCACAGACAGGACCTTGAGGGCTGGAAAAAATGGAATCTTGTGATGATAGTAGCACAATGCCATCATACAATACAGGTCCTGAGGGCCCAATTTCTAACTATGTCACATCGATATCTAAATGCATGAAATGCCATTGGAAAGCTAAAAAAGTAATTCAATGTTCTGTAAATATTTTGCTTCAAAAATGATGACAAAGAAAAGAGGTTGCACTAGAACAATACTTACCTCTAAAGATAAAACCACTTACTGAGTCAAAATTCTATTTGTATCTTGGAATAAAGGCCTTCTTTTTCCTTTTGTATTCATATTTAGCTGCTATGAGAATCTGTCCCCATTATTTTATATTGAAAGCAGTTAAAAAAAAAAGATTATATTTTAAGTATCAATTAGCCTAAATGTCTTTTGTTTAACCCTTCTTGATTTAAATACAAAAATGCAAGTTAAAGAAACTTCATGTACTGATTATATAGAACTCTTTTCTTAAGGTCTGCTGTATGAATTTAGTCCTCCAAACCCAATTTTAATGAAAAGGTTGAGCACTGAAAATCAATGGGCGCAGGGACAGAGCTGTAGTTTTGCCACATGTGTATACTTACCAGCATTCTTTTCTAATTCCTAATTCTCAGCACATCAGTATCCTCTGTGATACAAACATGTATACAATCAACTATTTTGAGAATGCTATTTATTCCCTCTAGATGTTGAGTCTTTTGTTTAAAAAAAAAAAAAAAGTCTAGTCAAAGAAGGCACAAGACCTGCAGCTAAGAATATCTTCAGCTTTTGGCAGAATTCCAAGGAACTAGAGATATTAAATAACTTTTAATCAAAACATTCATTCCCGTGTGGAGACTGTTTAATGTCTGACATAAGCTTGTGTTTAAAAATGCCATTCCTATGAAAGATAAAAAGAAAAAGGCAAGTTCTGGCATTTCTACTTCTATGGCTCTTTTACATTTTTTTACTTTGAAGAATGAGTTTAAAAATAATTGAGAGTGGTGAGTGCAATGAGGACATTCTCACATATAGGCAGTAGGGTTAGTCTAGACACGACCTCGGGGGTTCTATTTCAGTTGTAAAAAAAATCGAATAGGATTTAGATGGGGAATTTGAGAATGCGGGGGCAAAGTGCAGGGTAGACAAGACGCTAAACTCCAGAACTTGAATATTGAGAAGGGATAGGAAGACGTTTGGGATATTTATTGTATTTATTTTTTATTAAATTTTTCTCTTTTTGGCTGAGTTCAGTGATTCTGCCTGTAATTCCAGTACTTTGGGAGGCTTAGGCCATAGGACTGCCTGAGCTCAGGAGTCAAGACCAGCCTAGGCAACATAATGAGATATCATCTCTACCAAAAAAAAAAAAATTAACTGGATGTGGTAGTGCACACCTGTAGTCCCAGCTACTCCAGAGTCTGAACTAGAAGGACTGTCTGAACCCAGCAAGTCGAAGCTGTGGTGAGCTGTGATTGTGCCACTGCACTCCAGTCTAGGCAACAGAGCAAGATGTCAAAAAAAAAAAGTTTGTTGACTGGGCTAAACAGCTTTATTAGAGAAAGCCAGAATTACAAAGGACTAAGGGGTGTACAGTCTTAGTTGCTTGGCTGTGGAATGTTTATTTATTAGGGAAAAATATGATTTCTTGTTCCTAAGGGGAAAATATCAATATAAGAGTTTCACTTGAGTACTAACACATCAAATAATGTCCATGAAATAATGTTTTGATTAGTTAAGTAAAAAACAATCCAAAATAAATGGATGCATTGAAACAACTGGGAATCTGGTTTCACAGGGGGAGTGGGAGTGAATCAGAGAGAGACCAAGTCATCCAAAAATGCTTCAGCTGATAAAGCCAACCTCAGTTGCATCAGTTTTACTTCAGTTATTAAACAAACAAAAAAGCATATTTTTCAGTTATCTTTCAAGGAGAACACTGGCCAAAGATAGCATGTGAAAGATTGGCAAGGATATGTGGATAACATAAGGAGCGCATGCAAAATTGGGACCAATCTTTGTTGGAGGATTAAAGAAAAAAAATCTGAAAAAAGTGCATCTTACCCACATATCTTGGCCTGAGCTAGACTCTGAGTAGCAAATACCACACATGCTCTCAAAGCCTGTCTTTATAATGTCTACAGTCAAATATAGCAGAGTTGGTGGGAAAAGATCAGACCAGAAGCTAAACTCTTTCTCCAATCTGAAATATCAAATTCATCCTTTGAAGTAGTTGAAAAAAGAGCAGATAATCAGTAACACGCTTTCATAGTTAAGGATGAATTTTTCAAGTTTTTTCCTATCACACAAGTGTTCTTTGTCTTTACTTTGTCATTTCTTCTCTAGTCCCACCTACTTTGCTGGGGGCTGTGGACCTTGTGTTTCCTTATCTGATTAAGTGAAAAAATAACTGAAATTATCCATTATCATTATCCAAAAGTATCAGATCAGGTCAAATTTATGGGTGACACAAAGGACAGCAGATTCCATCTAGTCCTCTGAAAAGCTGTGAGTGGGACAGCCAAATGCCTTTCTCTAGTGTGGCTGGGTCTCTGGCTATCCTAATGCTTGATGACCAAGAATAAGCTAATAGTTACATTTACCTGAGTTCTGCTTGGAAGAATCTCCTTTTAACATACATGTGTACACATTCTTTTGTTCTATGGTAGGATCTCACCTCTTTACGTGTCATCACTGATTATTTATTTTTTAGGAGAAACTCCTATATTCTTTATAGCAGTAGACATCATGTCACATTTTAATGGGCTTCTTCTTTTCTTTGTCAATGTGCACAAGTCCCCTGCTGGCAAAGATTCAGGTAGGAGTCCCTAACCTCCTCTGGGGTTTTGAGCTTCCTTCTCCCTACTGAAAAACAGAGGTAGGCTCTTTACAGAAACATTTTCAAACTCATTCAGGCTGACAACACACCTTTCATGCATATAATCTGACAGTGCTATGCAAACAGACAGATCAAAACAGCACAAAACAGCTGGGAGCATGGCAGAGAAAAGGAATGTGTAACACGTGGCTTTGGACAATTTTAGTAGGGGAGCAGCCCAGTGTGTATGAAGATGCGGACGGAATTGTCAGTGATGGTGCACATAACCACCAGGAGATGAATGGCTGTGTAAGCTCATACTCATGGAGGATGGAGAGGCCTGCAGGGGAGCGCCTGGCGGGGGATCTGGGGAGAGCAGGGCAGAACCATGCAGCGCCCTGGATGTGAGCAGAGAAATCAAGTCAATACTTTACCAATAGCGTGAGGCTTCTTAAGTACAGATGTTATGTGGGGAAAACTGTCAAAACATCCTGAAATATATCCAGATTTGGGAGTGATTAGCATGCGCAACTATTTTTTCCAAGCCCGTAACTGCATGTTTAGTAGGAAGCAACATTTGGCCCCCTCTGAAAATGGGGCCAAAGCGATGCAGGCTCTTGAGTGCAGGAAAGCTGCATCGACATCCCACCAATGCCACCAAACCCTAAGACAAAGCATACTTGAGTCTTAAAGCAGTACCATCATAGTACAAATAGTACAGGGGCAATGGTGTTACCAAGGAAGGTTGTGGGTTATCATCCAATGGAATTCGGTTATTTTTCACTCACTATCCCATTTTCTACACTTGGCAAGCAATGCTCCCTTCAGTGCATCTCATAACTCAGAAGTTGAGGTGCATGTGAAATTGGGTGAAGCACAATGAATTTATTAAAAGCGGTAGCTTAAACAACCTCACTTAACTCCAGGTCAATGAACTCAGGAGGCACTGACATAAAGAAACAGGAGAAGGTGAAATTGTGGCAATAAATTTCCTCCCATCTCCACTCCTCCTTCTCAATCCCCATTGGAATTCCCTGAAGTGAAATTACCGAGGAACTTCCTTCCTATACTTTTAAGGTTTTTTTCCTGAGGGAAAAACTAGTTGTAGATATAAGAAAACCTGAGTGTCCGCTAGAATGCCAGGTGGGAGGTCTCTGGGGTTAATCTTCCTGACACTTCTGAGAACAAACTGTGTAAACCAGCAAGATTACAAGGCCACAGTGACAAAGGGACTCTACCTAGGCCTCCTGGCAATCCTCTTCAAACTGGTAAAGGATTTGTCAAGTGACTTGTCTGATATCAATATGCAGCCATCTAATTATTTCTTCCAGAAATAGTAACTGATAATCTACTGTGTACCAGACCCTCTTCTAGACGTTGGGTATAGAACAATTAGTAAAAGACACAAACCGCTGTCATTGTCATGCTTGTCCTTGCCGTATATTCTAGTGGAGAGCAGAGATAATAAAGGAGAAAAATACATAAAATAGGTAGTATGCTAGGTAGTAATAAGTGCTAATCAGGAAATAAAGCAGAGAAAGGGATGGAAATATGGAGGGGTAGACGTTGCTGTTGAAAATGAGGTGGCCAGGGAGGCCCTCACTGAGAAGGCAACATTTCAGTAACCCCCTGAAAAACAGAGAGGGAGCCAATATACCAGTATCTGGGGGAAGAACACTGCAGAGGAGGAAACAGCTCGTGCAAAGACCCAGAGGTAGGAGCATGCCTGGATTGCCATGTTGCTGGAGTCAAATGGTGAGGGAGAAAACAGCAGAAACATAAGTTTTTGAACAGAATGTCAGGTTATAATTTATGTTTTAACAGAATCATGTCACTGCTATAATGAGAACTGACTAAACTGGCAGCAGAGAAAAGGGAAAGGTGGGGAGTGTCAGGGGACAGAGGGAAAAGCAGAAAGAAGCAGGGGACTGGTTAGGAGGTGAAAATCCCAAGAGAGATGTTGGTGACTATGCCTGGCCTGGAAGGGGCATTGTACAGGTGGCAAGTCGCCACATTCTATATATACATGTTGAAGGTAGAGCCTCAGGATTTTCTGAGGACCAGACATGGGATATGACTCAGAGGAGTTAAGAATGATGCTTGGTAAGGATGGGAGCAACAGATAATAGGGACTACAATAAAGAGGGCAGGGAGGGAGGAAGATAGAGGTTGAAAGACCACCCACAGGGTACCATGCTCACCACTTGGTGGGGCCAGACTCAATAGATGCCCAAACTTCACATCAAACAATAGACCTATGTAACAAACCTACATGCATATCCCTCAAATGTAAAATAAAATAACATAAAATAAAAAGAATAATGCTGGAGCTTTTGGCCTGAGTTATTCTTTCCTTCCTGTTCCTGGAACTGACACCTTTAGTTCAGCACTGTTAATACTGAACTGTCATTATTTATGCTGCCAACGTGCCCATTAAACTATGAGGTCATTTTCAGGGATTTTGTCTTGCTTCTATTCGTTTATCTCATATTGTGCACCACACAGTATTTGTAACAAAAAAGGCCCTCAATTAATGTTTATTAAACAAAAAAGACCTTATAGATATTGGAAGGTAAAGGTTACAGATATAAATATGTCTGTAGACTCAAAGTAAAAAAAAACAGATGAATTTAGGCTTAAAATAAGTCGGTAGGGGATCAGTTGGAGATTCAATAAAGAATGAAAACAAAATGTGAGCCAGCATATTTCTTTAGGCTGTTATTGCTGAAAGACTGACACAAAATGTCTCTGGTATCTATAGCAGAGATTAACTGGTTAATACATATATTTTAAATTATTTGAATTTCTCTAAAAAATCAATTTATCCATCTAATTGAATACTTTCATAACACCTGAATAACAGCAAATTAATAATTTTTTTCCAGAAATTAGACTATCCCCAGAAGCAAAGGAAATGTGAAATTGACAAGCTATTTTTAGGATTAATTCTAGGTAAGTTACAACAGAATCAAGGTTTTAAAAAGCCCTCTATTTCACAGACCATTTTGCTTTTCAAAACACACAAAGAAAACAAACAAAAAGAACTAAAAAAATAGCCAAGATGATCAATTTCAAAGAGAATTTACTAATGTGCTTTATCTTTCTACAATTCAGAGCTTTCTCCCTCTGATGACACTCTCTAGGTTGGGACAGAGTCATAGGCGGGAAGAATAAAGTGGCAGGATAATTTTGGAAATCCAATCATGGCCAATGTTGAAAGTTACTGGTAGGATTCAACTTATCGAGATTCACTAAGAAAAATATCTGTGAAAGTGTTCTATAAACCATAAAGTACCAATTACTGTCAGGCAGATCATTATGGGCTCAAAAATCACCAAGGATGTATCTTACATGTTGAAGCTAATAAGAATGGTAAAACACTTCCATCAAGAGATCTTTTCCTTCTAGACTACCAATTGTGTCCTTTATTGATACAGAATTGCTGAAAGATAAGTAATAGAATTATCCACTGAGGATACCAAAGGTCTCTTTTTATCACCTAATTTACAAAGTAGAAACTGTATGGGCTGGAATGTTTTTCTTCATCAGAAAGTTCTCATATAACAACATCACAAACTGATGTCTTCTCTTCTTCCATGATGACAAGTCAACACACTTAACTATATTTGACCCAACGTGTCAACCTTGCTGTTATTAAGCAGTAAGAGAAAAAATGCAAAAGGAAGGCAGAACACAAGCCTTGAATGCCCTGAATGATGCATATGATCCTTATTCTCTTTGCCCATTACAGGGTCCTCATTATTCATACTCCAGTGGCCTCTTCTGGGCCCATCAAAGCTTTTCTGGGCTGAGCCACAAAGAACATAGCCACATGACCTGTGTTTGGGCAGCAGCCAAAATCCTTCCCTGGCACATGGTGGGCCCCAACCATCATCAATCAAGCCCTGTTGCTATCTCATTTGGCACTCCTGCTTTCCAAGGACAATTTCATCCTGGGTACAGGGATGGGTCAGGCACAGGAATCCCAGCTCTTATGATGTTTTTTCTTCTGGCGACAATATAAGATGTACCAGTTCAGAGCAGGAAGGACAGTGTGGGACAGCAGGCGAGGGTGGCACAGAGCAAGGTAACAGGTACCTTTTCTGTGTGCCAGATGATTTGGCTTCCATGCAATCCCATGCTTGAGTACCTTAGCACAGAACCCATAAATCTCCACTACAGAGTTAATTTTTTGAATTATTTGTATACATTTAAATCTAATGTATTTTTGTTTTGAATGAAGTGCATAACAGTAATAATCCACCTTTAATTGTTCTGCTTACTGCTTTCATCTTTAGGCAAATAAATTAGTATATATAGTTATCATTAAAAATTATTCTTATAAGGACCTTGGAAATGATACCCAGAGGAGAAACAACCTATAATTGGAAAGGCAATGTTATTAAAACAAGAAATTCTCTGTTTAAGATTACTCATTCAATTGGGTGCGGTGGTTCATGCCTGTAATCCCAGCACTTTGGGAGGCCGAGGTGAGAGGACTGCTTATGCCTAGAAGTTTGAGACCACCTAGGCAACATAGTAAGACCTCGTATCTACAAAAAACAAAAATAAAAAATGAGCAGGGTGTGGTGGCACACGCCTGTGGTTCCAGCTTCTTGAAAGGCTGAAGCAGGAGTATCATCTGAGTCCAGAGGGTTGAGGCTGTGGTGAGCCATGATCATGCCACTGCATTCCAGCTTGGGTGACATAATGAGACTGTGACTCAGAAAAATAAAAATAAAAAAAAAAAAAAAGAAAAAAAAGAAAAGGAAAAAAAATCCATTCAAACAAAGCATTACAAAAAATTTTTTACAAACTCAAAACTTGGGGAAAACAAAGGAGGCTTTGAGGGTGTGGCCAAATATACTGGCCTTTTCCTTCTGGCTTTACAGCTTGTCTTACCAGCTGCTAATTCACTGAAGAGGGGCCAAGCATCTCTGTGTCTCATCTTCATCACCTCAGGTTTGTTATTCTTACTATAAAAGTGCACATATATGCCGGGCTTGGTGGCTCAGCCTGTAATCCCGCGCCTTTGGGAGGCTGAGATGAGTGGATTGCCTGAGCCGGCGGGTTCGAGACCTGCCTGGGCAGTAAGACCTCATCTCTATAGTAGATAAAAAAAAATCAGCCGGCGTGGTAGCGCATGTCTGTAATTCCGGCTACTTCGAAGGCTGAGGCGGAAGGATTGCCGGAGTCCAGCTGGTGAGGCTGCGGTGGCCGGGAGCGGCCACTGCACTCCAGTCTGGGCGACAGAGTGAGACTCCGACTCAACTCAAAAAACATAAATAAATAAAAAGTGCACATATAATTTTCAACCTCATAATACAATTTCAAGTTTGTTATAAGACTATTTCCTTGTCAATGCCTTAGAACATTCTGATATGTATGAGATCTAGCAATAGATCCATTCAACAAACACTTATCAAGCTCCTAATAAGTAGTAGACCCAGGCACTGGGATATAGAGCAGAAAGACACAATCTCTGTCCTAA